GTCCGCCTTTTAGGTATGGATTCTGTTGTGATCACAGCCATAGGCAATTTTACGGGTGTGAGTCTGTGTATGTGTGTGTGTGTGTGGAACGTGTGGAACGACGTTCGATTATAACTTGAAAATCAAGACGTTGATTTTCAAATTATAGTCGGTTTTTTACGGCTAGTCGGTTAAAATTTCGTTATGAGTATTTTTTTTTTTTTTTGCAGCTAGTTGGTACATTTTGAGAATTCATCTCCCCCCTCCCTCATTTTATTTGTAGAATTGTCTCTGATCAAAGATGATGCTAAAGAACTTTTTTAAATTTACCTAACCGATGCGAACATTTATATTCGGAATAAAAAACTGCATTACAAGAACTTTGTTCACAATTTAGTTGAAACTAATATTAGAGAATCCAAAAAAACAAATCATCTCAATTTACTTCTGGTTATTTAATCAAAGAAACTTGAATCCAGTCTCAAACGTCAATGTTGTTCTAAGGATGTTTTTCTATGCTGCTATTACAATTTGTAACGGAGAAAAGTCTTTTTTAAACTTTATAAAGGTAATGAAAAATAGGAAATTGCTACAACTCTGATAGTAGACAAAAAAAAATGCCTTTCAGCGCTAGCATTTGACCTAATTTAGCATTTGACCTAAACTTAGCCAGGTTGACCTAAAGACGGGCCAGCACCACGGACAGCACTCCCGATTCAAACTACTTTCATTTTTCGGTTTTTGCATTTCAGTGATAATCATCTGTGGGAGGTCAAAGAAAGGTTCCGTACGGACCTTTTTGAGGCACCTAAAAAAACTAAAAAAAACTAAAAAATAGTATAATAAAGTTGATATTATATGAGCTGGAAGAGAAACAGTTCCACAAAAAAAATTGTCGTGGTCAAGGCTAATGTCTTCAATGTTGCACTCAATAATCTGAATATTCAAATAACATTAAGATTTAAAGTAATATAAGAGGAATGAAACAAGTTTTTCTTTCTTTAGTCTTCACAGAAATCTTAAACAGACAAAGAACTAGATTTAAAAGCTGAGAGTCTAGCCAAACGTACCCAGAAGACTTATGTAAAAACAAATTTTCTGATGAAGTTTAGAATTTTTTTTCCGTAAGAATAAATATTCTAGGCAGCAAAAAACCTGTCGAACATCTAAATGAAGTTTATGCAAAGGGGTGGCATTCAATATTTCTACAAGCGTGTGTATCACTTAAAATCTTTCAAATATTGCCCGTTTCAACATCTGAATGTGAAAGATTTTTCAGCAAGTTAGCTATCATTAAAGATTATCTTCATTCCACAATGGACCAGGAGCGGTTGTGCTATTTGATAAAATTTTCAATTGAATCAGATTTAGCCAATAACGTTTTTTATGAAATAGTTATTTTTGCTGCTTAGAAGGCCAAAAATGTGCGTTTGATATTAACACTTGATATTGCCATAGTTTTTTTTTAAAAACCAAAATTAATGAAATGTGATTTTAGGTTTTTTATGAAAGCAAACAAAATAATTACTATACTAATAATATTTGGTTGGGTCATTTTAAGACCTAAAGCATAATAAGGCATCCTTTAAACTTTTGCACCCGGGCATCACAAAAGTTTTGGGCGGGCCTGCACATGACCTTTTTTCTTTCTTCAATAATTAATGAGTAATAAAAATAAAATTTAGACGCTGCCCAGTGGGGTATTTGATCAATTTAGGTTGCCAAACCCGCAAACAAAAAAAAATCAAAACTGTTTTACTAACGCTGAATAGGCAGTGAATATCAAAAAAATTATAAAACCCCCAAAAAGTTAAAAAAATAAGCTGTAGGATGTATTCAAGATGATCAATGACTATTGTTATAGTTTTATTTCGTTTGCTTTTTCTTTAAGGTAGTTCATACCTCCATTTTTGGCAATTTGCGACTTTAGAATTATCTTTATTTATTTCCACTTTTTAAAAAAATTGAGTTATTGATAGTGTTATGTACTTGAAAATAATGTTTTTTTACTTTATTGAAACCATAGTTATAAGTAAAAAAGTCGCGGATAAAACATAAGTTATAAAAATGTTTTTATATGCCGTCTCCTAAAATTTTAATATTTTAAATCGTTTTATCTCATGACTCAAAAACGCGGATAAGGCGAAATATATTTTGCAAATTAAAAAAAAAAAGTTTTTAGTTCAATATTTTCCTAACTCTATAAGATAAATGGTTATTAATGGCAACACAAAAGTGACATATAATTGATATAGATGTGATTAGTGTTTTCTCTATAATTTATTATTTTTTTTAGCATTTGAAATCATTTGCTACCATGAAGATTAAACGTTTTGAAATAAAAAGTTTAAAAATAGGAAGGAGGGGGCGGAAAAGCTGAATCATCCTACTCCTACATCCAAGCATTTCCAGGTTGTTTTTTTTTTTTATAGAAACAGTTATACTAAGATTTTGTCTTCGATGATTTGTAAAAATAACTTGCCAATATTTGCTCCTTATATTACCTATCATTACTTATTTATTATTTTAAGCGTGTAATAGAAATGGGGTGCTCTCTGTATAATGTATTTATTTACCTTTTTTTCGGTTTCCTTTGAGTTTCCTATTTTTTCTTTAACTAATCATAACTAATAAATTACAAAAAGCATTTTTTTTTTACAATATTCGTAGATTGTTTTTTTCTATTTTTATTTCATTTTCCTTTCCTAAAAAAATCTAACTTCTTTGATGAAAAGATAGATTTTTTATAATACGTAAAAAAGTATTGTTAGCAGCCTAAATTGATATCTAAACAACTGAAAAAAAAAACTTAATCCTAGTTTTTCCTAAAGTTGATATTTTGCTGATTATTTTGTTTGATATTCCTTTTTTTTTACAATACTTTGAAGTATTTCTTTTATTATGGCTATTTTCTACAAATATTTCAGTAAAAACTCTAATTCCTGATTTATGTGTTCCTTACTGCATACTGCCAAAGCTCGTTGGATGTATTCATAGGCTTTAGCTTTTAAATACACCATAAATAAAAATTGGATTGTGGCATGAATGTGGCTTCAATAAAACTCTTTTTCATTAAAATTCTAACCAATTAAAACACGTCGCTCACTAAACATGAGTTTGAGCGCTCAAACCAAATTCTTTATATCCGATTTGGAAATCGAATTTCGTCATAAATTATTTTAGCAATTTACAAATAAATAATTGAATAAAAGTTTCGGCGCTCAAATCAAATTTTGGCGCTCAACTAAAAGTTCTTAAGTTCGATTTTTGAATCGAATTTGCAATAATCCCTCAAATAAACAACTTGCGCGGGTAAACTAGTTATCAAGAAGGAAAAATAAGAGAAAGAAAGAAAAAATAATTTGGCTTCATTCAAAACTTTATTTCATTCAAAACATTAAAACAGGAAAAGGTAATTCTAACAACATAAAAATAGAAGGGATAAGGAGGATGGGATTATTATGTATTTGTTTAGCAATTTTAATTTATTCATTTTGTAATTTTTTAAAGTACATCTAAAATAGATTGTTTTCACAATTGTTTTTTCGTATGAAGGCGTAGTGAAAATCTAGTTTTTAATAGATTTAGCGCTTCACAAATCTAGGTAAACGCTGGGCTGATGGTAGCCCTAACGTAGATGAGCACATAAACAAGAATGCACATTTTAACGTACTTTTTTGTTCTTATAATTACAAACTTTTATAATTTTAGTTTTAATTTTCAAAAGCATAATTTTTTTTTAATATTATTACAATTACCCGCAAATATATATTTATTATAAAATTTACATATTACAAAATACAATTAATAAAATACTATTATAAAAACCGTCCACTGATAAAATCATATTTGGTACTCTTTAAAGTTATTACTAATTAAACATGACAATAGTGTTTGATCTCCCGAAGTAGTTTCATAAAAAAACTGCAGGTTTATTAAAAAAATTAAATAAAAAGAACTAAAAAACTTTGCTCGGAATGTAAAACTACCTTCAAATAGCAAACATTGTTTCTATATCAAAAGTTTTAAGTCTTTAAATTATTTCATTACTTGATTGAATATTTTCAATGTTTATAATTCAGCAAAAATTATTTTTTAATAATGACATTTATCTGTTATAATAAAAAAAAATATTGGCGAGGAAGGTCATTGAAAAACAATATGATAAAAAAAGCACTTTAGTAGTGGAAACTATTTAAACTGTTTAAAAATCTGATCAGCATCAAATTGATTTACGCGTAATTTATTTTTTAGATTAGATCTTTAAATTTTTTACTAAAAGAACATTTTCGGAAATTTTTCTGTTTATATAAAAAAAAGGGGAAGACAATAAAAAAATTAATTCAATTTTTCAAAAAGTTTAGAAAGAGTTTGTTTTTGTGAGTTTAAATTACGGGGAATTTCTTAAGTTTTAAATAGAAAATTAAAAAAAAACATTTTAAAAATTAAAAATAGCCCCCCAAAAATGTTATAAAGTCTTTTTTTGTTTTGCTTCTTCCAGACACAAGATATAAAAATAATTTGAAATGTAAAGTGCTTATATTTTGTATATTTATTATTATTTTTTATCATTCACTTCTACCTAATATTTTAATTATTGACCTTACTTCTGCACCAAAAAAACAAGCTTAAACTAGATAAAAAGAATTAAAGATTACAAAATTAATCGAAAATATCAGAGGTGAGGACAGCGACAGGGGTGGGTTTAGGGTGAGAGAGAGAGGGTGTGTGTGTGAGAATGGCTTAAGGTCAATTGCCGTAAATCCCTTTATAATTTTTCCGAAATCATTTTTTTCTAAATATGATTTTTATACTGAAATTACCTATTATACGTAATTATACGTATATGAGCTTGAATTAATATATTTTTAGTCCTTATTACCCTTTCCGGTAAGTGCGAAAAACAGCTACTCGACGGCTATGGTAATAGTAGTTTCGGTACTAATGAAATCGGATATAACCGCGATAATGATAGTAAGACATTTCATAGACATGTGTATTTTAATTGTATTTTTTTTTTCTTTAATATATCTTTACTAAATACATATCTTGTTATATGTTGACTTTTTCATAATCTAAAAAAAAAAGAAATATATAATTCAACATTGAAAAATTTTTAATAAAAGTGATAATAATAATTAAAAACTTATAGAAAAATAATTTTTTTTTAAAACAATGAATAAATTACACGCAGAAATCATTAACTCTAAATCTAAAAAACAGGAAAAATCAAGTTTTACAAACAACTTACTTAGGTTTAACATTTTCATTAAGGATAGGGTGATTCGATTTTTCAATTTTTTTTTAACTTCTATGACGTTTTTTATATTGGCGAAAAAATTATAGCCCCTAATATAACAAAAAAAAAAAAAAATCTAAGTATGCCACCTGATCAAAAGACGCGTAGTTTGATAAGTATTAAAAAAAAATAATCGCGTCACTAAATTAAAATCTTTATTATTTTTTCAAGAAAAAAAACTATTCGTTTAAATAGTTTTTGAGAAACTTTATTTTTATCAAACCAATTTCTTTAGACGATAACTTTTTTATAAAACTACGTGTCTTTTGACAAAGGAACCTACTTTGATTTTTTTAAGAAAGAAAGTAGTTTTTTTTTTTTTTTAAATTAGTATTGTTTTCTTGTTTTGGATACTAATTTATCAAAATAAAAAAATAGACGATATAGAAATTTAATAAAAATATCAAAACAGCTGAGTGAGCAATTAAATTTAATTTAATGTCTTTTAAAACAAGACAAAACGTATAAGCTTTATATGTTTAGTCTTAATTTAAAAGACATTAAACATAATTGTTTACTTGAGTGTTTTTAAAATTGTAGGTATTTGTAATTCATGAATGGTCACAATAAAGTTAAATCTGTAAAATAAAGCTTTAAAAAATTAAACTTAAAAAAATTAAAAAATTCAACTTTAAAAAAAGTTAAACTTTAAAATAAAAATATAAGTCCGTTTGCTTTCTCAAGCGAACGCTATATTAATATGAAAAGCTCTAAGCAAAGATTTAATGATTTTCTAATTCAACTTATAAAAACACATAGTCGTACTATTTAGTCTATTTTAATAGTCGGTACCTTGGCTTACTGTTTTTTCTTGGTTCCATCGTTATTAAAAAAAATTGGTAAACTTTCTTTTTAAAATAAAAAAGCTCAAAAATTTTTTTTTAAAAACAATAATAATAACTTACTTGTGATTAAAATTAATTAATTTATAATTAGAAATAAATCAAAGCTTAAAAAATAATTTTGTTTTAACTCCTTTGTTGCCTAATATTAAAAACAGTCAATAGAGTAAAAAAACCTTTAAAAAATCAGCATAAGCAAACCCAGTAATTTAGACGTTTTTTAGACGTCTAAAAAACGTCTAAAAAACGTCTTAAAGACGTCTAGACGTCTTATAGACGTTTTTTAGGCGTCTTTTAAACGTCGTGTGTTTACTGGGAAGTCTTTTTTTTATTTAGACTTGATATATTTGGCGCGATTTATAGATGAATCGTTAACTACTATTAAATAATTGATTCAAGTATGAATGTTTCAAGTCAAATTAAAACAAACAAAAAAAAAATGTTTTTTTAATTTAATAATTTTAGTTTTTTTTTTTAATTAATTTATTTTAAGTTAATTAGATTAAATTCTCAGAAATATTCTTGTGTACAATACCTCTTGTGTACAACAAATCTTACAATTAAATGTCATACTAATAATTGCTCACCATCAAATTTTAACAATAAATGAATTGACTTAATTTTGAAATCTTATTCTTAATGACACATTATTTATGAAATACAATGACTAGATTTTCTTAAATTTTAGGTTCACAAAAAGGTGTATGGTTAAAAAAAATAATACGAAACATTTATAACCTGAATTATACCAATACTTGCTAAAAATCTTACCAAAGCATACTTGTTCCGGTAATATGTTTAGAATAATGTACATAATTTTTTTTACAAATTTTACATCTATTGAATTTTTACAAAAATTGCACCTATTGAATTCTCAAACTTGTGACGAACTACAATAAAAGTATCCACTCGCTGAGATTAAAATATTTACAATAAAAATTTATTTTCAAAATCACACACACACAAAAAAAAGAAAAATTTTGCAATGCAATGTTATTTTATTCATAAACTTCAAACCTTTATTTCATTCATTCCATTATGTAATACATTCTTAATTAAAAACAATCAAATTGAATTAAGAAAATAATAAAGAAGATAAATCTCGAAAAACGGTTAGCAGATAAAAGTATCACTCAAAAGGCGATCAAAGTCTTACTGCTAATTTAATATAATTTATGCGTAAATTAATTGTTTGAGAAAAAAACAAAATGGAGCGCAATAAGAAAGTTGCGTAAATTTTTAAGTCAATTTATTCTAGCGCTATATAAGAAAAATAAACTTTGTTTACAAGGAATATTATAAAATAATAAACTGTTTCTTGTTTACAACATAATTTTTTAGAACTTTTGAACATTAATAAAATGCAAAAGAAAAAATGATTTTAATTTTTTTTTGATATGAATTTTTTACATCTTATATAATTATCTTTATTGAAGTTATATAAATACTATATAATGCTACTAGTTACATAAATAGTTATTAAATAATCTCTTTTCATAAACACTACTTATATAAATAGTTACTAAATAATCTATTTTTATAAATACTACTAGTTACATAAATATTTATTAAATAATATCTTTGAGGTATGAAGTAATAAGTACAACCTTTCGCTTTTTCACATTATTTTATATTTCTGAAAAGCAAAGGTCTAAGTGTTATGCATTCGGTTATATTTTAACAAAGCTTATTTAAGCTTTCTACTCGAATAAAAAATTAATAAAGTGTTAAACTGTTGTTGTTGAATTATATTCAACTTTCATTTCAACGCGAACAAAGAAAAAGGATAAATAAAATACATCTACAAATATGGAGTCAGTATAATAATTTGTTTGTATTATTAACAAACCATTTTTTAAATAAGGATATTTACGAAACTAAATAATAACTAAAATAATAAAAACATTTTATAACATAGAGCTGCATTTTGAACATGACCAATCAGCACATTTGTCTTCCAAAACATAATCAGGGATACGTTCACAAGCGCGATGATACCAATTTTCGCATATTCCGCATTGCACCATATGTCTAAATATAATCCCCAGTTAGACAAAAAGAAATTACGTAAACAGAATACAATGCAATAAGTTATATTTACCTATCTTTAATACAACTATCCGAAGCTAACCAGACTTGTCTACAAATGCAGTACAAGGAAAAATTGAATTCTTTTTCTTTTCAGAATCGCATAGCTGTTTCGGACTTTGGAAACTCAGTAAACTGATTGCCTTTCACACATTTTAGCAAATGATTTCTCATTTGAAAAGCGTCAAAAGCAACATAACTTGGATTTAATCTAGTATCGGTAATATGTTTTATAAAGGCTAATGCGTACAAACCACAATCAACATAATTTGTTTGTTGTTGCACCGGTACAACGCGGACAGTTAATTTATCTTCATTGCACTGCATAATAGCACAAATTTGCCTAACCACATGGTTTTTTACTTTTCCACGAAAAAAACTGTCTAAAAGAAAAACCTCACCAACAGAACATCCAAAATTACTTATAGCCAACCAGTGGGCCTCGCCATCATGCAACACCTGGACAAAAGATGCTTTTTGTACACGGAACGATAGATTTTGTCCAAGAACTGGGTCTTGGAGACCGCCTACACCTGTGATCATCTTTTTCATGGTGTGGATTACAATGTCAGATAACATTTGGTTTGTTAAAATATCGTTCAAATCATTGGAAGAGAGATTACAGTTAGGTGATAAATGGTTTAGTCTTTTTATCTCGAATCCATCATTTTCATTAATAGTAACTGACTCATCATCAATAATTATACTATTTCCATTAATATGTTCAATAATGTCGACCTCAATTGGCTCGGTTTTGTGTTTTTTTTCCTCTAGAAATATTTTAGAAGATGCAATAACCATATCTTTGTGATTACCTACGCGATCAGTAGGAAGCTTCATTGGTTTACGAACAGGAATCGGAATGTTCCTTTTTAAATGACAAGGCAACTTGATATCCAATGGACAAAGCGGAATTCCTGATTCTTTAGTTCTATTTTTTTCAAGTTTTTTAATGAGAGAAGCAAGAGTGCTATAAACAAGAACAATTTCTTCTGAATTTTCCTCAAATTCATATGTTAGGTTTTGAATTGTTGTAAGCATTTCCCTAACATTTACTCCAGAGCAAACACTTGTAATTTTTTTAGATTTTTCATTCCAATCATTAATGACATCTAATTCTTTTTTAGGTAGAATTAAACTTTCCGGCCTACTAAATGGTGGTTTTTCGTGTGATGCTTCGTAATCATCAGCATCTAAGTTTAAGAATGGTGAACGTAGATAAAATGATGACAAAGCACTCCATGACCAAGCAGAGTACTTTCTAAATACTAAAAAAAAATGTTTACATGGATATGCAGTTGATATCCAATTTAAACAAGTACATTTTGGCATTGTAATCTCATCACCAAATAATACAAAATATTTAGTAGCTGGCTTGGTAGAACTTAGTACAGCAAAAACTCCATGTTTAATCATGATTACTCCGGACAAATCAAGATTCTCAACGTTACTTTTTTTTATTAGGCAATGTTTAACAAAGCTATGAGGACGGTTGTAAAGATAACTTGGCACCCAACGTGCATACCTTCTGTAACGTGCATCCATTTTAAAGTTGGAATCAGTATAGCTAAATGAAATAATATTCATAGTAACAAATTTTCTTTAATAAAGTATTAGGAAAAACCCAATATTGTGTAAATGAATGTAAATGATTTGGTATGTAGTACCATAGACACGATATCTTTAAAATGCAAAATGTAATGATAAGGAAAAAAAATTTTATATTAGTTACGTGAACAATCTATACAATGAAATATTATTAAATATATAGGGTAAAAACCTGCTGTTAACATACTTATACCTAAGTTTTCTGAACTTGTTTTTTTTTAACCAGAGAAAGTGTTTGTTGTTTTTATTTAGGTGTTTATTACTTTTTTAAATTGGTACAAACGTAACGAAACTTTAAAAATATGATACCTGTCAAGTTTATCAATGAAGAAGTCATCAATAAGCAAAGTTAACATTCCAGTCAATGATGAGTTTTTATGTCGCTGTAAATAAGTATATTTAAAAGACTCATTCTGCCTTTCCACACCATTGTTTGTATTGCAATTGATAAGAAGACGATCCTGCCTGTACCACCAAACCCACCTCTAATTTAAAAAAATCTTTTTTTTTATTTTGTTTTGTTCAGGTAAATATAAAAAAATTAAATAACTTTTTATTGAATCTTCCTGTATTTCAAAAATTTTATATTTTACATACTTTTTTAATTGGGAGCCAATACTTTTCTATATATTGTTTAAACTTAGTAAAGCTTTCTTGACTCCAGAATTCAGACTGTTCCAATATTCTTTGAGCATTTTCTTCCTCGTCAATTGACTTTGACCAAGCGAGTCGCCTTAAAATACATAAAATATCATCTTTTCTGTTAGAGCAACCACTTGATAGCTTTTTTAGCCAACGGTCTCAAGACTGTTCTCTGTGAAAGTCACATATAAATACCTTACATCCTAAAATATATATTAAAAATCAGTTGATTCATTGGATGTTTGTATAGTTAAATTAACTTCATGTAAAATAAATAAATACACACCAATAAAAATAGTTTCGAGAGCACGTATCTCAGCATTACAATAATCAGTCATGCAATAAAGAGGTTGCAAATCTTCATTCCAAGACTTTAAGATAACAAGTGCTTCAGATATCGATTCAAAAGTTTCACTTTCGCTTACAAAGGTTGCTACAATTTGATAATTCACATTTGTTTTGACAACCAAAAAACAAAGGTAAAGAATATCGTGTTGTTTTGTATGTTGCATCCAAAAACAACATCTCATTCCCATATTTTTTTAGCAGTTTTTTTTGCCAAAATGCTTGGTATACAAACAAGAGCTCAGCACTGTTACCCCGTTCTTTAGGTCGAAAATATATATTGGCAGATGAGTCAGCTTCTTTCCATTCTTTTATTTTGATTTCTAAGCAGTCTTGGTCGATGTTCGAGTATCTAAAACGTTAAATTTTATTGTCTGCTTTATAAAATGAAATATTAAATTATAAAAATTAGTAACATAGCCTTGTTGTTGTTTTTAATTATATGATTGAGTGATTAATTGATTGAATTGGTTGATTAAAAAGATTGATTAAATTAATGAATGACTGAAGTTATCTTTAATATTTAATAAACACCTAAAACCTCTCTTAAATAGTCCTACATATTATAATATTTGCAACATCAAAATTTATTTATTTTGCATTTTTTAAACTCTATTACCTTTGCTTTAGACGCTCTTTGACCATGTGCGAACGAATTATGTCAGTTCTTGGATAAAATCTTCTGTTGGTTCTAGAAGGAAGATTTTTCTTTCCAAACATTTCATTGACAGTAATATTTAAAAGTCTTCTCATCTCACGCACATTAGAAACACCATCTTTAATGTATTCAGAAATTTTAACTGATAAGCGTGGATCAATTTTTTGTGAGAGTAGCTCAATCTAAAAAACGTTAAAAAGATTTACTGTTATAAAAGCTAATTAAAACAAATATCAGAGTTTTATATTAGAGCCTCTTTTTTCATAGGTGAGTGGCCTTCACAACGATTAAAAAGTCCACATGCCTTAATTTAGGATTTAATGTCGTCACCGTTGTGTGTAGGTACTTTATGAATATACAAAAACTATTGGTTATAGTTAAAATAAGACTATTTAAACGCAGTTAAGAAAACTCTAGCATTAATACCTTGCCAAGAGGGTGATTTTTGTGATCATTTAAGCTGTCTATCTCAACAATAATTTTTCGACTAATTACCACATCCTTTTTTTGTAGCAACGAATATTTTATTTCTTTTGACTGTTGCTTCTTACGATAATTACTGGAATTAATAAGCTGAAAAAAATATTTAAATAAGAAAACTAAACAAAGATTATTTCAAAAGTAATAGATCGACAGTAAACAGTTAAGAACTTGATAAAATATTGTGAGTGCGTAATAATTTATAAAATGATTTCCTATTTAATAGAACATTGTAATGTCAGTAGATTTGTTACCTTGAAGTCAGTGAAATATACCACTTCTTTCATAATGGCTTTTGCAGGACAATTAAACTTTTTAGTATCTTGTATGATAACATAATTAGTTATGTATAAATGATCCACTTTCTTTAAAAAAAAAATAGCCAAAGTGAACATAAATTTATTTGACAACGATGGAAATTGTAAAAATAGGAGAATCTTTACCTGATTTTCTTTTGCTTCATTATGCTTCCTTTTTGCAGCAGCGTTCCGATCGAAACCATGGTGACAATTGTATCTTTTTCTAGATAATATAATATAAGGAGTAGCATAGTCTTCAGATGTTTCCCATAATACTTTATGTTGGGTTCCATGTATAACTAAGCAAGGAAATTAGGATATCATGTTTTGTGTATGATTTCAAATCATGTGATTGTGCAGAATTATTATGCACACACATTAGAACAACGATGTAGTTAAGGTGATTTATTAACTATTGATACATTATATTTCTAATTCGCATCATTTATTTTTGTTGTGTGAGTCGGTACCTCTTATTATATTTTAACAATCATTGTTCTCTTTTTTTAACATTAGTTAAAAATGTTACTACAACTAACACAAAGTGTAAAGAACATCATTTTGGGATATTGATTTTCCTCAATAGCGTTAAATAACATTTTTGGAATAAATTTGTCTTTTCACAACAGATCCTTGTTCAAATCTATTCAGGTGCATTTAATTTAACTTTATTTTGATTTTAATACCACATTTAATTTAATATTAGTTAAAATATAACATTTCTATAAAGTTTCAAACAAATTTAGGAATAGAATAAACCAATAATTAAAGAAAAATTCAAAAGACTGAGCTAAACTAATAATAATAAAGAATGATAATTACTTCATCTATATAACGCACTTATTTTTAATTATAATAAAATCTGAAAAAGGAAGCCTAATTTTTTCTTAGTCAATTTTTGGTCTAGGTTTTCGTAAGAAATATTTAAATATTATAAATTCATATATTTCGCGCGTATGCAGAAATTAAAATAACAGTCATTGTTTCCCAATAATTATTTTATATTACAAATAACATTAATTCTTCTTAAAATATATACAAGTATAATTTGTTTGCTTTTACAGCGTTTTAAAATAAAAGTTCCTCGTTTATTTATCTAATAACATTTAGTTACACAAAAATTACAGATTTCAATAGATACACGCTGTCAAATTAGGTACCAAGTGTTCATGAAAATCTTTATACTATGCAAAATAAATTGCACCAATACGGCGTATATAAGCACCAGTTTAGAGAATCAATTTTTTTTTTAATCTAGTTTAAGTTTATTTTGTCCAAGTCAAAGTAATTAGTTAAACATGTTAGGTATATTAGAAAAAACAGTAAGTTTATCAAAACAAAAGTTCCTATTACGTTAAAAAAAAAAGAAGCCTTGTTTATTGATATTTTACTAAAATTGGATCGTTTACATTTCCAAATTGAATCCAGTAGGTCTCCTGTAAAAAGAAAAAAAAAAAAGAAAAGAAAAGGCTATTATTAGGCTATTAAATTGTACATCCAACTGAAAATGTTTAATATATAATTTCGTTTATAGTTTTTTTTCTGAAGCTCATGCTGATATTCTGACAACTCAATATGCAAATTAATCAGAAATTAAAGAAAAACAAAAGCAAATAAAAAATGTACAATAGGTTAAACATAAATGATTATAATTAAAAGTTTATATTATTTACAGTGATCATCTATAAGACGTGGGTGCATCTCCTGTGTATCCACCAGATTAAATAATAAGTTGAGGAATGAAAAATGCGTTTTCAAGAATATAAAAATCAAGGTTGTTAGTTAATGATTAATAAAAACAGATGAAAATTACACCAATGTGTTGTTCCCATGAATCGACGTAATGCAATTTTTTAAATATAAATACGAAATTCTAGAAGAGTGGAAGCAACTTCTTACAACCAGATGTCACACCAATAACTTGTTTTGCCAATCAGAGCAGAGTAGTTGTCATAGTACAATTAAGAACATTAGCATTTAAGATTTTTTGAGTTACTTCTTACCTTAACTCAGATTAAATTTTTTTATGTGTGGTTTTATTACTACTTACTTTGTTTGAGGTGATGTTTGTTTTAATGTTCCAATCCAATGTCAATTAATGGTCAAAAAAGTAAATTCCAGTCATGTAAATTTACTAAATTAAATCCATTTATCAACAGTATTTTTGCTAAAATAAAAAAAGAAAAGAAAAATAACATGAAAAAAAAGAATTTTCAAAATCACCATAACTACACCGAGTTCACAAAACTTTTAATATTTATAAACGTAAATATTGTCACTTTTCCAGATAATGTAAGCTTGAGTTAAAAATATATATTATACCTGAACTTCCAAAGCTCTTTGGAGTGGAAAGGGCAGCAAACCTAACAGAATTACTGATTTCATAACTATGAAGAAATCGAGTAGCTTCCTCAACTGAATCGCAAATGCAAGGCTTGGTGTTGTCTAAAACTTTAAACTCATTGAGATATTATATTATATTAATAATCATATCAAAGAATAATAAACAAAAAAAAACCTTTCAAAGTTGTAGTGTCTTCTTCTACTTTATATGTATCAGTAATGTCTTCATAATCGGACAAATCTGAACCAGAGCTAAAAAAATATATAACAATCTAGAATAATGCATAATAGCTTTTGCTATTTTACTTATTTTACAGTGATTTTGATTAATAATTAAAATTCATCAATAAACTTTGTGATGAGGAGAGCAAATAAGTAAAACTAATCATTTAAATGATGTTCAGTTTTAGAAGCTGATAAGGATACACGTGGCAGAGCTAAAGTAAAAGGCTGCAAATTCAAATCATTGTGTTACTAGTATACCGAATTCCAGGCTCTGTAAAACCAAAATCTAAACCCCATGTTGCAAATATAAGCATGGCTAATAACATACTTTTGAAAGTTGAAAATGAAATATAACTAGCAACACATATATAAAAAGATTATTTAATTTTTCATTAGTTACTAATGGTATCATTAGTTATGTAATAATGTCATTAAGACATAACAAACTACGTAGATGTTAGTCCATGACAAAACCCATTTTTTAATACACAACTTGTTGAATCATGCTATAAAAAAATTCTGGAAAATGACTGAGATAGTATTGATATTAAATGAGATCCAGTGGTCAATTACATGTTCTAAAAAAAAATGTTATCTAATTTGAGTTAAGAAAATTGTGCTTTACCAAACCAAAAAGGTTGCCATTTCTCCTTTTGTTTCTCACTGATTCAAAGAATATCTTATAGAATAGACCTATAAAACTCATACATTATCTTGTATACTTCTTTTAGGTCAAATCTGTGTCATTGTTGTTCAAGTGTCCATAAACCTAATTTAAGTATTGTCTGTATATGGAAGATGTTTTGCAACTATTATCAATTTGCTAAACCCATGATGTACTTTTTAGATTATCTTTTTAATAATCTTCGACATTAAAAGATGACAGAGTGATGCGAAATATTCCATTGTGGATTTACTAATAAATTATCAAGTTTCAACACATTATTAGAGTGCTCGTTATATTTAACTCTGATATATTTAATACATTTAACAAACATCAAAGTTAGATACACAAGCTCTAGGAGGGTGCATTATTAACCAACTTAAGTTAAAGTTGCATTTATTTGAAAAAAATTTGTCCAACATGTTTAAGTCTTAAAAGATAATGAACATATCATAACAGACTATAATTAGGGCATGGTTGTGAAAATGTCATGGGCCATGGTTACAACAAGATCTATGTTCAGGGCCAAAAACTAGTGAAAAAACTAAAATAGTCCTTGTTCTTGGTACCAAGAACGAAGCCACATATTTCAAACTTTAAATTAAAAATGTAAATAGCTCTAAAAATGTAAATAGCTCTAAAAAATGTCCTGTATCTTGTAATAGATAAAAAAAAACCGTTCATAATTATTAAAAAAAAAAAACCTTTTTATAGAATTATTTACCTTATTGACATTATTCTATTTACACAAAAATGTTAACTAAATCAAAGACAATGAAGAATTGAATGTTATGAAAACAAGGCACCGTGATATTGACAAAACAACAATTATAAAATCACAATAAGATTAACGGTTTCAAAACAGATATAACAGTGGCAATTATAACAACATTGAAATTCACTTTTGTTCCTTCACGGCTGTAAGTAGTTTTTTTAGCATATTTTATTTAATTTTGCATATGTAATTTCCGCATAATTACGTATAATTTTCAAGTGGACTTTGATCGCCTTTTGAGTGATACTTTCGTTCGATAACCTCGAAAAACCTCTCTACTTAAATAGACATCTCTGATGTTTGAATGTTATATTATTTTATAAATACTTTTTATAAAATATTATATAAAATTTTTTCTTTATTGAATTCTATAAATATTTTATTTTTAAATTAATATGAAATTAGTAATTAAATAACAATTGTTGAAATTATTTGATTGATTACAGGGTTACTCATTCTTATATGCGTGTTTATTCATTCTTATATGCGCGTTTATTCATTCTTACATGCGTGTTTATTCATTCTTATATGCGCGTTTAAATTTGAGTCAACCAACCATAAAATTTCTAATATATTTTTATATAAACAATAAAATGGCTTTTATGTTTTTATATAGATGTATTTAAAATATAAATTAGGTTGTTGCCACTGCAATTTATTTAAAAAATGTTTGCCGAGTAGGGATGCGGAGTTACTTCATCCTAGTTTTTGGTATCCAGGAGCTCTATAAATATAAATAAGTTTATGGACTACTGATAGGAAAAAAAAATTAAACTTTTAGGTTAGAGGAACAATCATTTTTTGAATCCGGAGTCCAACCGCGGCAAGGACTCCAGGACTCCGGGTTTAAAAACAATAAGTTCCAAGTCATTAAATCTCATGAATTTTTTTCTTACAGCAGATCATATGTCAACAAACATGTTTAGAGCTTCTGGACACTACATACTTGGAAAAAGTTTGAGATATAAAGCATGAGTCCTTTTTGGACTCCGCATCCCTGTTGCCGAGTCATTGCTGAATTTATTTAATAATTATAAGTAATAAATTTTAAATCTAGATAAATGAATATTGACATAAATAATAATTTAATCAATCAATAAATTTAATAATAAAACTAAACAAAGACCTAATTCTAAATTAAATAAACCATCATCAAATGTAAAAAGTCTTCGTATTAAATATTTTTAACCTCGTTTACCAGGAAACAAGAAAAATTTGTTTTGAAAAAATAAATAGTTTTTTCAAAACAAATTGCTTAAAATAATTTTTGTTGTTGTTAAAATTGCTTTAGTAAAACGCACACAAGAATGAGTGCATTAAAAAAAAAAAAATCGAATTGCTTTTTAAAACGCTTAAAAGAATGAATAAATGCGCATATAAGAATGATTAAATGCGCATATAAGAATGAATAAAGGCGCGTATAAGAATGAATAGACGCGCAAATAAGAATGAATAACCCTGTAACTTGTAAAACAATATTTAATGGTATGCTAAATCAGGCCCGTTGGAACAAAAACTATACTGGGCGTGGGGGAGTGTCTGAATAAGGGGCCCTAAAATAGTTTTAAGAAACTTTTTTTTTTTAAATCGTCAATTTTTTTAAAATGGGAGAAAGGGAGGAGGGGGAATGCCCTTGCTGCATCCCCCCCCCCGGTTGCTACTAAAACTGCTACTTGCTAATGAAAGAATAAAAATAAAATAGTAAAACACAATTTTTGATAAATACGGAATGCCCAATCACACGTTTTTCACGCGCAAACAGACTATAATATGAAGAGCCGATCAGCAAAACGCGAGTTTAAAAATTGCTAAAAAAAATTGCTTAAAAAAAAGCTAATTTTTTTTCCAAATTCTATATACTGAAATCTATTTAATTATTAAACCAATTAAAAAATTTTCGGTCCAAAAACTAAAGGAAGAAAATATCAGTTTCTGTTGATGCGCTACTACTTTTTTAGTTTTTCGTTGTTTTCACAAAATTAGTTTAATCGGACTTAGCGCAAATGGGCTCCTTATATTTAATTATAGCCGATTTTCACGTCTAATAAAAAAATAGAAAAAATATAAACTAATGAAAAAACTATGGCTTTTAAATCTTAAAGCAATCTAACGAAGCTTATAGACACGTTTTTCTAATTTGAGAATGAAAATTTAAGGTTTGATTTTTTTTCAACTACTTTTTACGTCTTTCTGTTTTTTTTTAACGTGCGAATAGACTAAAGGCCGTTTTCCACAAGACGAAATATTCGCGCGAAGCGAATTTTTTCGTCGATAAGCATGCGCAGATAAAACATTTCTGGCCATGTTTGGCAATAATTGCCATAAATGTTTTATCTGCGCATGCTTATCGACAAAAAAAATTCGCTTCGCGCGAATATTTCGTCTTGTGGAAAACGGCCTTAATAATATAAAGGTGAGACCGGGGTTAGTTATTATTAGTTTTATTTTATTTGTGAACTTGTGGTGGAAATATAAAGATTTTTAAAGAATTTTTTTTTCCTGCCTGAATCTACTTACTAAAACCCACAATATTCACTAATAATAATTAATCTATATTACGTATTTTTAAATATTTCTCATTAAAACGTTGAAAAAAAAAAAAAGTCCCAAAAAACCGCGCTTTTGAGGCTAGTTGTTACAGATTTAGTTAAAACGTAGCATTAAATAATAAAATTAATAATGCGTGCTACATGCTCCCGCTGACAATTTAGAGGATTTGACTTGGGTATCGTCCATAAATTACGCAACGCTAAATTTATTTTAAAAAAGGGAGATCTTAAGCTCTTTTACGCGGGGATTTTAATTAAACTTGGGCTGTTTTGATTTTTTATATGATTTAAGGTTCTGCGAGGGAAAACTTATTATCTTTTTTTTTTTTATTGGTGAATTTTAGCGTTACATAATTTATGGACGATCACTTACTTTTGTGGCTACTACTCCAGATAACATTGCTATAACTTATGTGACAGTAAATCAAAGAGTAATATAGTTGAATTAATGTAACGTTAAAATGCTTAACGATTTATAAAGGATTCCAGTAATATTAGAAATTTTACTGAGAAGTTACCATGAAAGATTTTTATCTTAAAGATTTGCAATGCACAACATCTTAATTACAATTTACAACTGTATTTTGTTTATTTTTCCTTTTACTTGATTATCTTAAACTTAAGAAGCTACGAGATTGAGGATGTAAGAACGAGGTTATTTGCACGTGCGCAAATAACCTCATATTTTTGTTATATTTTTAATGTATAAATAAAAAGTATATTAAATTTTGTAAAGTAAAAATAGAACTAAAAAAAAACAACAAATTTACCTCTAGTCTAGTTTATGTCTCAAAACGGAATAAAAACATTTTATTATAAGAAAAATTTAGAAAACAGCCAAACAAAATTGTTTTTGTAAATTTTTATTTTCTTTCTATGACAGCTATGCCTTTTCAGAATGTTCTGGTCCTTAATAGTTTTTCTTTTTGCGCTTCTTTGTAATTTATTTTATTTGACTTTAGCATCCGGTCTTTCTTCCCCTCCTCGAAGTTTAAATATATATTTTTTGGTTTTTTTAATTTAACTTTGTATTTTTTTTTTTTTTTTTTTTTTTTTTTGTATTTTGCTATTTTAAATATTTTTAATTTTTGTCTTTTTCTCTCTGTTTTTGTAATTCATAGAACATACTTTTAAAACCCAGAAAATAGGTAGTGTTAAATATCCAGGAGAGACCCGGAGTATATTTTTTTTCATAATTTTTATTGAAACTCAAATTTTTTTTTGGGTGATACTAAAATACTACTAAAATTTTGAGGAAACTCCGGAATTCCGGAAAAAGATCTTCCCTAAAATTTAAATATCGTAACCTTTGTTAGTTTATTGCATAAATGTAAAATTAAAATATAATAACTGTTATTTTACCGTTGTTTTTTAAAATACTTTTTAATTTGTTAAGGTTGAAACAAACAACATTTATACTAAACAAATAAGATATGTTTGAACCGATTGTTTTCAAGCATTTATAATCCAATTTTAAAGGAAACAGATCCATACTGAATATTTTATTCAAGTGATTTATCATGAAAGTTTATGAAGAGCCATTGTCTTGGAATGTTTGGAAAAGTCATGGAATGTTATTTTCAAATTTGAGTGGCCACCCTGCAAATTATTAATAAAAAACAAAAATCTATATACATTACATATATAAAATCTGTATCACTTTTTACATTTATATATATTAAAAAATTAAAATAACAAAGAAAGTTAAAATACCGCATTTCCTTCGTAAGTGTCCACGAAGAAGTCGAATTAAATAATTTGCCAAGTCGATCATTTATAATTTGCAATGCAACGATTTTTTACGACCTTTAATTCATTCAAAAATTTTACTTGCCGATATATATCGGCAAGAAAAATTTTTGAATGAGTTAAAGGTCGTAAAAAATCGTAATTAAAAATGTATAATTTTTCAACTGAGTAAAATCTAGTTTAGATACGCTTCTAAAAATAACATTCGTTTTAGCCGAAGTTACGTTAACTGATACATTTTTTGTGAATACATTCACAAAAAATGTATCAGTTAACGTAACTTCGGTTAAAACGAATGTTATTATTAGAAGCGTAGCTAAACTAGATTTTACTCAGTAGAAAAATTATACATTTTTAATTACATATAAATAAATAATTTCGGCAGTGCAATTGATCTAATACCCCGGTGAAGCTTATTTTGAGCAAATTTCAAAACCATGTCTTTATACTAAAAATTTAAATACATATAATTTTTTTAAACAGCAAATACTAAAAATGTCAAGAGTATAACAATTACTGATCTATCGCTTTAAAAACTGAAAAACAATCAAACAGCAAGAAAAATTTTGGAAATATTTGTTAATTTATCAAGTTAATTTACGAACTGTTTTTTACCTGAGAATAGTTTACTCAAAAAACTAAGGTTTTATGAAAGAATATTTTTCACAATAAAATCTTCTTTCAACACATGCAAAATTGCAATTAGACGTATTTACTTTATTTAAACCTATACTTAAAAAAAAATTTTGTTTCAGCCTTAATTTCTTTTAATTTCCTAAATTTTTTTTAGTCTCAAGATTGCAATTTCTTAAAATACGAATTTGTAACCTAAACATAGTCAACTTGGTAATTTTTTTTTTTATATAATTTTTTCATAACCATCAGCTTTTTGTTTGAAATATTAGTTAGGGGAGTAAATTCGCCACAGTCATAATCGCATGACATTTAATAATTAAATATATTTCTTACTTTAAAACTAATATTAATCTTATTTATAAAAAGAAAAATAAAGTAAGAAATTATAAAAATTAATATAAAGCTAATACAAATATCATCTCAATTGCCTACACACTTGCGGAAAGTGTGGATTTTTTTCTCCGCACCGGTGTATAGCTATCACTCCTAGACACAAGTGTGGAGTTATTTTGCACACTTCTGTGCAAATAACTTTACACTTCTGTGCAGAAGTCGAGTTAGAAAAAGGTAACTTCCGTAAAAGTGTGCAAAATAACTCCACACTTGTGTATAGGAGTGATAGCTACATACCGGTATGGAGGAAAACTCCACACTTTCCGCGAGCGTGTAATAAAAGGCGATATAGGTTTACCATACCATAATTAATTTACTATTACCATTACCTCCATACATCAGAGTTTACCATTACATACATACCATACCCCCACGTTAATTAGAACTGGACAAAATCCCTCCACACACTTTCCTATCCTACCTTGTATAGAGCACCTGAGAGTATGCTATTTGTGTTTCTGTCTTGTTAATATATCAACAAGATACAAACAATAGTAAATAATTTTATAGTAAATGTAAATACAATTTAATAGCAACTTAAATAGCAAATGTATAAAAATATCCTGCTTATTTAAAAAAAGCATGAATTAAATACTCAAAAAAACAAGAAATTCAGATCTATCTGTTAATGTTCATCTCAGAACTTATAATAAACAATTCTTTTAGTTTACAAAATTTTATAATAAAAACTATTTTATTTTTATTTAAAAAAATAATTTTCAATGTATTTCTCCTTTGTGTTTTAAAGCAAAGACTGAAAAATAATCAAACAGCAGGAAAAATTTTGGAAATATTTGTTAATTTATCAAGTTAATTTACGAACTTTTTTTTTACCTGTGAATAGTTTACTCAAAAAACTAAGGTTTTACGAAAGAATATTTTTCCCAATAAAATCTTCCTTTGGCACATGCAAAATTTCAGTTAGAAATATCTTTTTAAATTATTTTAATTGTTTTTTTTCGGACTTAAAAAGTTCCAATAACAGTTTAAGCTTGAATCAAATACACACACACACACACACACAAACACACACACACACACACACACACACACGCACGCACACACGCACACACACACACACTTCTACAGATGTATGTTTCGTCTTTTTACTTAAAATTAAAAATCAAATATCTCAAACTTTAAATACGATTTAAATTAAATTTTGATTCTGCAGTATTACATTTTTTTATCTGTACCTGAGAGCCAACTTGCATTAAGTCTAAAATATAATACCTAAATAGGAGCAAAATAAAGATTTTTTCAACTTATTCTCTCATAACTTTTCTGATTAATTTTTTAATAATCGGATTAGAAAATAAATATTTATACATAGAAGAGACCAGGGTTAGTTGGAACACGGAGTTGATTGAAACATAGAACTTTAGCGCTAACTAATGAACAGTTTATTAATACAAACAAGTTAGTTTATTTCTTTGTGTAAGACTTTACCTTTATACAATGGAGAGATAGCTAACAATCCTTTTTTATTAAAAATTTGTCTAGCCATCTTTGCTTGGTATTCTGTAATTGCAAAGTTATTTTGTACTTCTAATATTGACCAACTTGGGGGTGCCAGTGTTAGAAGTTAAACAATAGTCTTTTTGTCAGAACATAGAATTTTTTCTTTTATCAAGCTCATAATTTCATCAAAGTTTTCAAATTTCTTTTTTATGTTATTTGTTTCATAACACAGTCTTGAGGGAACATTGCCTTGACTTTCAGTTTTTCTAGTAACGTTACTTATCATCTTGTTCAGCCTGGCTTTGCTTCTCTTCCTTAAAATCTTCTTTTCTGGCAATTTTTTGCTTACAAGGTTTGCAAAGTTTCTTCCCAAGAGCAATATTCAAAATACTTCTCATCATGACTTGTGACTCATTTATCGTAACTACTCTGAGATTTTCTAAAAGTAATTGAATTGTATAAATCTTATCTGCACAATTGTGTAAAACATTTTTAATGTTTTAGAAAATACATATTACAAAAGAATATATATAAAAATTTTTTCAACAACATCTTGTTGGTCTTTGCATTCATCTGATATCATTAGGCCAAAATCTTATAATAAATTAATTAGTATGAAAGTAATTCCTAAAAAAATTCTTCTTTTCTACATAATTTTGTGTAATATATATATATATATATATATATATATATATATATATATATATATATATATATATATATATATATATATATATATATATATATATATATATATATATATATCTGTATGACAGTGAGTTAAGGGCTACAAAAATTGTCATCAAAGCCACACTATATTAGAAAACGTTTTTACCGTTTTTCACTAAAAAATAGGCTACACCGTTTTCTAATATGGTGTGGCCCTAATCTTCTATCGCTCATAGTATATATATATATATATATATATATATATATATATATATATATATATATATATATATATATATATATATATATATATATATATATATATATATATATATATATATATATATATATATATATATATATATATTTATATTTATATATATATATATATATATATATATATATATATATATATATATATATATATATATATATATATATATATATATATATATATATATATATATATATATATATATATATATATATATATATATATATATATATATATATATATATATATATATATATATATATATATATATATATATATATATATATATATATATAATTCAAACCTCAGAATCCTTCGTTGTATAATTTTTTACACTGATAGAATTTTTTAAATTTAAATAAAATTTTACCAATAATGTTGTTCTATAACTGATAAACTAGTTTTTATAAACTTTTAAAAATCTAGTTGTCAAAATTTTAAAAACAAATGCACTTCAATATTACACATAGTCAGTTTTTAAAAACAAAACAGGATGTTTTTTTCAGTTGTTAAGATCAAATAACTAAGTTATCATATAATTAAGATTCCCTTAAATATAACAAAAGTGTTTTGTTTTTCTCTTTTAAGGAGTCTATAAACTAAATTTAATATTTTACAAAAATCAATTTGCAAGTTTTTTAAACTAATTTCTTGAAAAAGTAATACATCTTTGATATTAAAGTTTCATATGTTTCAGTCGTTTTTCCAGTTAGATTTTTTGTGCCTAAAAAGATTATAAGCAGCTGAAAATATTACCAACAAAAATACAAAAATTTGACGGTGGTGTTTTAAGATATTTATACATCATTTATAAACCCCAAAGTTGGTTTATAAAAACTAGTTGCTTTATTAACTTTTAAGCATGTTCCTTTTATATTTCCGCAGTTTAAGTACATTTATTGTATTTTATTCAGCATCAAAAAAACATTATATATGTTTATTTTCATATTTTTGTCTTATTTTTTTAAGAAAAACGTTTTTTTTAAATGTTATGAAAACCGGGTCATTTTGGGAAACCAGGTCAATGTTAAAATTGCAGTATGTTGTCAACTGCCTAACATTTTTAGCTGAAATTTTATGTTTTACCTTTTCTTTATAAGATGCAACAGCCAAGGAAGTTTTTAAAAAATTTGAGGAACCATGGTTCAAAAGTTTTGAGTGATTTGATGTGGAATTAGCCCCCATTATTTGTTCAAACTAGCCCTAAAGGCAGGGTTTGTTGGAACAGGTATTTCAGCACTTTAATCAAAGGCATATTAAAAACTACATAATTTAATTTAATAACTATTAGTGAATATCATGGATTTAGTGAGTTGTTGTCAAGAAAAAAAATCAAAAAACATTTTAAATCAAACTAATTTATCCAAAACTGGAGTTAAAACAAGATATCAGGTACGAATACGACATAATTTTATTTTAAAAATAGTTTTAAAAACACATAAATTTTTTAATGTCTAATTTTTTTAATATTTCTATTGTTTAGAAAAAATGAGCTATTTCAGCATTAAAAACAGCAATTTAGAAAAAAATGTACAAGATCTAGAATTTTTTAACCTACCTTTGAACTTCATTGATTTAATTGGGGAAGGACGTGCAGCAACAGTTTATAAATCAACCTTAAAAAATAAAGTTGCAGCAATAAAAGTTTTTAAAATGCAGTTTACAAAAAAACAAGTTTGGACTGTTGCAGAACAACTACGAAAATTAAAACACAAAAACATTGTTGAATTTTATGGCTACAGTTTGCGACCAACGGCACTTTGTTTTGAGATTTGCAGCTTAAAAATTCATGATACAATTCTTTACTCCTTACGAGATTTGTTGAGTTTATTCAACGACAATGAATACTTAAACTTAAATGAAAGAGTTAACTATGTTATACAAGCATGTGAAGGGATAACATACCTTCATGAAAATAATATAATCCATCGCGACATTAAACCCTCTAATATGTTAGTGAGTGGTCTAATAGGAGAAATAACAATAAAAGTATCTGATTTTGGAGACATGACAACTCTAAAAAATACTGTCACAAGTAATAAAACAACCTCAAAAGAGTACTTAAAGGAATATGCAGGTTTGACTTTAGGGTACATGGCTCCAGAAATAGCAAAAAAAACAAGTAACTCACTTAACACATGGACAGATATATATGCTATGGCAATTTCATCTTTTGAAATTTTTTCTAATTTACAATTTCCATTGGAAAAAAAATTTCCATTACCAAATGATGCCATTCTCCTTGATGCTCTAAAAAATGATGAAAGACCTTATCTTCAAACATCAAAAAACCTGTACAAAAACGATGAAATCGATGAAATAGTTAGATTAATCGAATTATGTTGGAAATCTATCCCAGAGGAAAGATTGACATTGCAAAATGTTAAAAAAAAATTAGTTATTTTTTAATTATTTTAACTAAAAGTCCAACTTAACTTTAAAAATTTGGAATCTTTTTTATTAATCAAAGTGGAGCAACAACAGAAATAGTGAGTAAAATTATTATACTTAAATGTTTTATTTAAAGTTGATTGTTATAACTGTTGTTAATAATTGAAATTATTATAATAATGTTATTGGTATTATTTTTAAGTTTAGAGCGAGAGCTCCGATCTTTGCAATGAAAAAAAATAATAATAATTTAATTGATCTATGCTATGAAACAGAAATTAATAACTTAACAAATGAAGAACAATCTAAAACAGTATGTTTGTAACAATTAAATTAAAGAATATATATTTAAATTAGAGGAAAAAATCAAAAAAATTTTTAGCAGCTAGAATCAGCTTTAGTCTAATGGTTAAATAAGCCATTTATTTTAAAAGTGGCATAAGTCACTTTTTCAAAAAAATCAAGTTAGTGATAACAATGATTACAATATAATGGTATCTCTTTATTTGTGAAATAATATAAACCAATTGTGCTGAAAATTATTAAGATATTTTGGAAAGTTTTGCTAGTTTAAGGTATAACAAACATGTTAAAACACAAACCTTTAAAAATCTCTGTATAAAAACAAAGTGAGTTATGCCGCTTTTAAAATAAACGGCTTAAATAGTGATTATATTGATATAAGACACATAAAAATTACCATTATAATATTTAAATTCAACACAATTATTAATTACAAAATTTAGATAATATTTAAAATTGTTATACACTTTATTCCTTTGTTTATTTTTACTTTATTTAATTTACCTTTGTGAAACTATGTTTAATGAAAATACTAGGAGATATTGAAATAATAAAGTTTTTTTTTGTCCAGCATCAAGACTTGATTTCTTGTTATGAAAAGAACTTGACCACCACAGCTGAAATGGAATCAAAATCAGTATGTAAAAAACACTTGTTTATACACCTTACAAATATTAAATAAAAGATTTGCCAATATGATTGATAAGTACTTATATAAGTATATATAAATTCTTATAGATATTATAATTTTTAAAAAAATAAATTATAGAATAAACGTCTTTCTCCAATCGGAAGACCAAAGAAATACATTGAAATGGAGAAAGATCCAGATAACATATATAAAAAACTAATAAATCAAAGAAAAGGTAATAAAATGTATATTTTAATCTTAACTGATAATTAAATAAATCAAAAATGATTTCTTTTTATAGGATTTGGTGTTTTTGCTGTAAAAGAAATTAAAAAAGGTGACTTCATAGTTCAATACAGAGGGGATTTGATTCCAAGAAAACAGATAAAAAATAAATTAAAACTATATGAAGAAACAAACGCTGGAAGCAATGTTTTTGATTTTAAACACAATAATATTGAATACAGGTAACAAGCTTTTTATTATTTCATTACTTTACAGGTATTCAACATTCTGTAACTTTAATTTTTTTATAGCATTGATGCCACGCTTCATTTAAACTATATTGGGAGATATGTAAATGATTCTAAGTACTTTTCAAACTCTGTCATGAAAAAAGTATTGCAAAATAACATACCATGTTTATGTTTATTTGCATTAAAAGATATAAAACCAAATGAAGAAATTGTTTATTTTTATGGCGTTGACAATTTAATTTGGCATGCTGAGGTATGAGTTTTTTTAATTATAATTTTAAAAATGCTTATGACTATATGTAATATGGTTATTTTCATTATTATTATATAATAATTATTATTTATTATTTTTATATTATTTTATGGCATTTTTAAAGGAGTTAAAAAGGAAAAACCAAACAAGAAAGAAAACAAAGGTAATTATTTTAATAGTACAAAAATTTTTTTTTTTTGCACTTTCAAAAAGAAGTTATAAAATTAATAGTACTCAAAAATAGTATAAAAAATATATGCCTGATAAAATGAATTGTAAAATTCTAATGCTCCAAGGAATTTCTTTTTTGGAATTTTTTAAATTGATTGTTGGTAATTAATTGTACAAAAGTTAATTTATAATTAAATATTTAATGAATGATTAATGAATTCAAAATATGTGAATATTTTGAAAATACAGTAAATGATAAAAGTAGCCAGTCTTCTAATAGCTTATTAAAGTAAGTCTGAGTAAAACTGCTGCTATCTAGAATCCTGCATGCATATATTAACTAAGTTGAAAAAATAAACATAGTTAAAAACACTTCACACTAATGTTTTATTATATATTATAATTCAGCCTACAGAATCTGAAGAATTTCAGGTTCACACTAGAGTATCATACTTAGCCAACATCAGGTCAGCCAAATTGTTTTTCTTTTTGCCTTCTGTTACGAAAGTATTAATGATTAATTGGTTGTAAATGCATTGCTTAATAAGAACTATAGACAACAGTATTTTAAAAAAAGCAATTAAACTTTATACACAGAAATCACCCAGATCATATTTTAAAATACTGAAAAACATTTTGCGAAAAAAAAAAAAAAAAAAAAGGTTTTATTTCCTTCATATTTGTCAATATTTAGCCTTGAACTGATAGGTTTCCTAATTTTATTGAAACTTTTCTTATTTTTTACACGAGTACTGACTGAATAAGTTTAAATACATGTATATTGCATATAGTGATAACTATCGTTAATACTAGTATTGTTAATATCATTGGAAATTAATAAGACACTAGCTGTAAGCAACCCGTAATACGGGTTAGTAGTATATAAATCATTATGATATTTATTTACTTTCTCTAATAAAATATTAATTTATTTATACAGTAAGCAACCCGTAATACGGGTTAGTAGTAAATAAATTATTACTGTCAATTTGATCTTTATTTACTTTCTCTAATGAAATATAAATTTATTTATACATTTTTTTTAGTTGAGGTCACTTTTATTTTTCTTGGCTTCTTAGTTTAAGAGAACTCTTAGCTTCATTAAAGATAAAGTTAACCATAAAATGACTTACCTTATATGCACAGAAAATTGATGTCAAATTTTCAAATTCCGTAAAATTGTTTAGGTAAATGTTGGGAATATATTCTACTCTTAATTTTGCTTTAAGCTGAGTCGTTTCTTTATTTTTTGAACTTTTCATTTTACTGAGTAAAATATGTCACTATCGCACCTGAACCTTTTGAATGTTATTAATATATTTTTTAAAACCTCTAAAATATTACACCCAAACTTCTAGGCATAGAAGTTGGATATCCGGAAAAACTATAAGTTGAAAAATATATCGCAATTCCGAAAAGGGCTTACCCTGCATACGGATCCTATATATTATGATAAAGATTATTATTTAAACCAACCTTTTTTTTAATTAGTAATCCAGCAGAAACTTGTTTATAAAAAAACAAAGGAATATATGGATTTACTATAATAGCTAACGTGTATCAACATATTTATTTCAGCATACATCCAATCCATATTTATACTAATTTTATAAAATACATTTTGCCTTAACTTGGCGTTAGATTATTAGTTTTATTTCATTAATTTTTGTATAGATCAGGTTAATAATAAAACCAATTGGATTTTACTCAATATTTTTGAAGTAATTATTCAGCTTTAATAAAATTGTTAAAATCATAAAAGACAGTTGAAAAATATCTTTAAACCTTTGTTCACTTCTTGAAAATCCGTAAAAAAGCAAGTATCAAGTTTACTTATCTTTAAAAGAAATTTATTTACATGATATATAGTTAAATATGTAACAAAAATATTTTAAAACAGAAGCATATATAAAACACATTTTTCTTAAAAAAAAACAAAGTTGAAAGCACCATTTACAGCACCGAGGAGCCAAGCATAGCCTATTGTAAAGAAAACCATATCAAATAATTTAAAATATTTATTACCGATAGGGACTACAATTAAACATATTTAAAAAGCTACGTGATTCCATATTAGTAGAATTGTTATAGAAAAGTATATTAAAAAAGTATATTTAAAAAAAAGTGTATTAAATAGAAAACAGATTTTTAAAAACTACCTAATTTTGTAAGCATTTTGCCAATGATGTTCATTTTTAAAAGCAATATCTTTAATGAAAAGCCGACTTGTTTCACTAAAATCATTCTAAGAATAAAATTATTAACACTTAAAGATAAAGAAAAAAAAAAATGAATGAGATATAAACAATCGTACTATAGTATTATGAATATTTCATATTATATATGAAAAAAAAAACAACAACTGGAAAACAGTATACCTGCTTTTGGTAACCTATTGTGATACTGCAGCAGTTGCTGTAGGGATACAGCTGTTCTTTTTAGTGTTGCTCAAAAATGTAATTTTTATGTTGGCAATTAGTAAACTTTAGTTTAATTTAAAAGACATCACAACGGATTTAAAATATTCATAATAAAAAGAGAAAAACATAAAATGCTTTAAGGAGCCAAACTATAAACATAAAAGATAAAGAATAGAATCGAGCTAAATAAATTGTATTTATATAGCTAAATATATTGCCTTGGGTTTTGGTAAATTTTAAAAACAGTACCCAATAATTGTTTTTAACAAAAGAATGCAGCATCATTATATTATGATAATTGGATAATGAATCAATTCAACTTTCGACTTAAGAATTTAGGGAGGGGTATTTAAGAGGGCTTCAAATTTGAAGTCAGGTTTAATTGGTGAGAAGACAATTAAAAATTTTATTAAAAAAGATTAAAACAAATCAAATATACAACGTAACATATTAAAAAAAAAATTACAAATTTTTAAAAAAAACAAAACTCCAAAACAAAAAATTACAAAATTTAAAAAAAAAAAAAAAAACCGAAGAAAAAGCAGCAACTAAAATGTCATAAATATCTCTACTGATAGAAGACATTTACAACCTTTTGGTTGCTGTTTTTTCTTCGGTGTCTCCCAACACCCCGGTATGGATGAGCCCTCCATTTAAAGGAGGGCTCATCCATACCGCCATTACGTTTCCATTTATTGAAGGACCTCTTTGAGAGAGGTATATTGAAGGTAGATTATAACGACGTCTATCACCGCCTTCAAGTAAAGACATTTTTACAACAGAAGCTGAGCGACCTTCTATAGCCGCCTTACGAATTTCTTCATCTTCTACTTCAGCCATGTTTTTAAACGCAAGAGCAAATGGACTTTGTTCCATAATTATAGTTTGCAATTGAAACATTAAATCACGTAAACAAAGATCATTAGCATAGTGTTGCATTCTAAAATTTAGTGCAGCAAGTGGATCATAAATATATAGTTGAGGATATATTGGTGGAATATCTTGATCTGGCCTAAGATTACCTACACGATGAAAAATCTGGCCACATATTTTAAAACATGGAAGCCCATG